AACAGAAACAGCAGCCTGGTGATGTCATCTTATGTACAACTCTCCGAGTGAACTGAATTCTCAAATACAGTATTTTGGAAGCATATTCCAAATTACTTTTGATGGGGCTTATATTGTGTTAGATGTTTATCTTTACAACTGGGAATACTTATTTATTAAAACAGGAGAATGTGGATTTCAAAGATTTAAACTGCATGRGATTTTGTTTATGCAGCTAAAGCGATGCAGTGGAGTATGAGAGGGCCTTTTGGGCCATAATTCAAACTTGCTCTCACATTTACTATCAAACCCTGACGGAGTTTGGTAGTGATTGTGAGAGAGTTAGACTTTGATAGTACATGTGAGAGAGTTTGATAGTAAATGTTTGAATTATGGCCCAAAGGGCCTCTCATACTAAGTCAGTATTTTGTCTAGAGATGCAGCTGTAACTACTGCTGACAACAGCTTGATTTGTTGAATCGTCCTGCCCTCTGCAAACCGAACAAACTGAGAAGAGAGAGGGCAAGAGGGTTTGTGTTTGGTTTGATGTTTGTGTTTACTTCCCTACACACAACCATGGTGTTACATGGTCATAACAAGATATTCTCCTGGGGACTTAGCATTGACTTTCATTCATTTACCAGACATTTCTGCAGCCTAGCCCTGACCCCTGACCCTAAATCTAACCTAAACTCAATTAATTCCTTAGTCCTAACCTAACCCTAACCCGTGACCCACCAACAATATTTCCCCCAATGGGGACTGGGCTTTTGTCCCCACAAGGAACAGTGGGTCCTCTCCAGGCTGTATATACCAGGGAAATGGTCAAAAATTGTCCCACCCAGGTGACAAAAACACATGCACACACCAAGCAGAAATTTAAAATGTCCAACCAGCTTTCTGGTATGCATACTGAGGGTAAAAATATAGGACAAAAAGAGACTAAGTAAAACAGATACAAAGCCTAAAAGTTTAAAGATCAAGTATTTTTACTAACTGGAAAGTTTTGGTTTGTGGGCCACAGTCAAGGTAAATATACTGTTAACCACAAACCAAACTATTTTGCAGGGCCTTGTTAGAATAAAACCACACCTGCCGTAGACTGTGTGCAGCTGAAGGCTTGTGTGCTACTTTAGACATTTTCACCGCATGTTTTTGTTCTCTTACCTCTKTTACTTCACCCATGAACACACATTTTATTGTACAATGCCTTTGCAACAACAACTGCATACTTTAGTAAATAAAAAAAAMCACCCACAATGTTGGACACGATGTTGTGTCCATCCCTCAGTCAACCATGTGGCAGAGGTGGCTACAATGGAATTTTTCATGAAATTTGACATAAAAACTAATGTCAATTGTAAAATAAACTTAAGTTTCATTCTGTGTTGAATGTCAATTGTAAAATAAACTTAAGTTTCATTCTGTGTTGGGCTGTCCTAATTTTAAATGCACAACAACTTTTAGATGTGAGACCATTCGGCACAAACAGCTTTAGTCACCAGTGACAAACCAATGATGCACGGAAACTTTTACACGGCTGTGGTTTGACTCTTAAACAGGGGTGAGAATACTGAGGGGCTTTTCTTTCTGTTTCACTTCCTGATGCATCTTTAAAAAGCTGATTTTGAGCTTCTGTTTTCTGTTTAAAAAAGCAAAAATTATTACACGGAATGCATTATAATTGATACTGTTATCAGAGCACACACAATAGTTTTAAGGACAGGGATGGCTACAAACTTACACCTGTTCATTCTTGCTGATTTGAACATGATGCCCAGCTGAACGGTGGCGCTTTTTTCAGGTAGTTGTTCACGTGACTATACTTACTGTCCCAACATGTTTTTTAAGCCATAACTTGTAAACAGTTTAATTATATTAGGTTTAACAGCCTTGCTAAAGCACCCGATCCACCAGAATGAATTTAAACAAGAATACTGTAAGTAAAAGTAGCATTTGATCTATGCAACTGATGTTTGTTGTTGCTTTAAACATTTATTTCTGTATTTTCAGTTTACTAAAACAACAGTTTCCCTTTGCTCAGTTAAAATTAACTTTAGAAGACTCTTGCAGGCCTTCTCATGTTTTATTTGGTAGAAGGAAATG